CTCTGTTCACCCATCTTCCTCAGGGAGGCCTTCCCTGACCTCCCACCAGCAGCTGACCCTCAGAGCTCAGCCTTCCCTTCCCCTCACAGCACTTGCCTCTGTCACCTGCATGACTATGTGGGTAATGTCGCCTCTCCCACTGGACTGTGAGTTCCACAAGGCAGGGACACAGTCTGTCCTAGCCCCCATTGTGTCCCCAGTTCCACTCAGCACAGGGATGGGCCCATAGCTTTCATTATTTCAAGGCAGGAGTGGTGAACAGAACCACAGCATTTGTGCTAAGTGAAGGTAAAACAAAAAGTCCTGCATTCATTCATTCCACAGATATCACACCAACCCTGCGTCATCACTGCTCGGGTCACCAGGGATTCAGCAGTGACCAAAACAGAACTCCCTGCCATTGGGGAGCCGGGGGGATGACGGAACAGGCAGCAAAATAAAAAATAAACATATAAATAAATTAGGATAGCCAAAGCTGACAAATGCCATGGAGAAAAGGAGCACTCGGAAGATTCAGTGCAGGGAAAGGGAACAGGGGTTTCCGATTTAAAACAGGATGGTGACAGAACGGCGCACTGAGGCTGTGCAGTCTGAGCAGAAGCGGAAGCAGGTGAGAGCGCCAGGGGAAGACCTGAGGAGGAACACTGCAGGCAGGCAGGCAGGCAGGCAGGGGAGGAGCAGGGCTGAGGCACCCACAGGAGCTGGTGAAGGGGAGGGCTGGGAGATGTAGCTAGAGAGGAAGCTGGGGACCGCTGGGCAGGGCCTTGGGGGCCACTGTCAGCACTGTGGCTCTTATTTGGAGTGAGAGGGGAACTCTCAGCCTGAGGAGAGCTGGGGAGTGGGGGAGGGGCAGCAGGTGGAACCCCTTGCACCCAGGGTGGGGCAGGAGTCCTTAGGGAGACAGCCTTCCTCTCCAGGAGCTGTCCTCAGAATAAGCCCTGGGCACTGGCCTGATGGGCTCGCCACAGGCCTCAGTTGAGAACCATGAGGACCCGTATGCAGCAGATGAGAAAACCGAGAATGGGAGAGATTCGGTGAACACCTACAGCGAGAGACAGCAGGGACACAGCCAAGGAGCCCGGACCCCTGTCCTCCGAGCCCTTAGTGGCCTCCACCTCCCTCTGCCTTTGCTCCCAAGAGACAGGGCCACCTCCCATCTTGTGTCACCTCCTCCTACATCCCGGCCAGCCCTCCCTTACCGTCCCTGATGTGCACACATGCGCGGGAGCCCTCCAGTCGGACTGCATTGGGCGTCCCTGACCCACGTCGCTCTGCATTGCCACCACCTCCCTGGGAGCTCCGGGACAGGGCCCAGTGGCAGAAGGAGAAACCGGTGGGTCTGCATCAAGGCTAATACTCAGTGAGTGCTCACAAAGCACCAGGCATGGATTAATGTTCATCTTCAGAGCCAGCCTGTGTTACTATCCCCATTCCTCACATGGGAAAACTGAGGCCCAGGGAGAGAGTCACATGCACACAGTCACAGCGAGTGGGTGCAGGACAGGGGCCGCAACCAGAGCAGAACTAGCCCACAGACCTTTCCGTAACGACGGAAACGTGGTTACTAAACGTTTGAACGATGGCCAGTGCAACTAAAGAACTGACTTTTTACTTTTATTTAATTGTAATTAATTAAAACTTAAAAAGCCATATGTGAGGCCGGGCATGATGGCTCATGCCTGTAATCACAGCACTTTGGGAGGCTGAGGTGGGTGGATCATGAGGTCAGGAGTTCAAGAACAGCCTGGCCAAGATGATGAAACCCTGTCTCTACTAAAAATACAAAAATTAGCCAGGCGTGGTGGTGGACACCTGTAATCCCAGCTACTCGGGAGGCTGAGGCAGAGAATTGCTTGAACCCGGGAGGCAGAGGTTGCAGTGAGCCAAGATCGCACCACCACCCTCCAGCCTAGGTGACAGAATAAGATTCCGTCTCAAAAAAAAAAAAAAAGTCCATACATGGCTAGTAGCTACCATTCTGGAGTGCAGAATCCCTGCTAATTAAGCTTAAGCACCAGGAGCCTAAAGGCAGGAGGCGGGAGTGTGACTCTCACAGGCCCAAGAGGAGCCAGATCATCCCAGCCCGGCTAGAAGCTCCCATGCTATACCCCATCTCTCCCGCATCCCAACGCCTTACCTGGGGAACTGGAACAGGACTCAGGCCCAAACTCACACCTCTAGCCAACTCAAATCCTGACTCTACCACTTCCACACTACACAGGTTCTCTGAACCTCAGCTTCCGCATCTGTAAAATGGAATCTTCTTTTTTATTTTTTTTGAGACAGAGTTTCGCTCTGTTGCCAGGCTGGAGTGCAGTGGCCAGATCTTGACTCATTGCAATCTCTGCTTCCCAGGTGCAAGTGATTCTCCTGCCTCAGCCTCCCGAGTAGCTGGGATAAAAATTACCCACCACCATGCCTGGTTAATTTTTGTATTTCTAGTAGAGATGGGGTTTCACCATCTTGCCAGGCTGGTCTTGAACTCCTGACCTCGTGATCCACCCTCCCCCCCCCCCCCCCCCCCCCGGCCTCCCAAAGTGCTGGGATTACAGGTGTGAACCACTGTGCCTGGCCTGTAGAATGGAATCTTAACAATCTGCCCAAGCACGTGTTTATGTTATCTCAAAAGATAAGTTTTGTAGGCCAGGTGCAGTGATTCTCGCCTGTAATCCCAGCACTTTGGGAGGCTGAGGCAGGTGAATCACTTGAGCCCAAAAGTTCAAGATCAGCCTGAGCAAAATAGGGAGATTCCCATCTCTATTTAAAAAAAATTTTTTTTTTTAATTAGCCAGGTGTGATGGTGCGTGCCTATGGTCCCAGCTACTCAGGAGGCTGAAGTGGGAGGATCACTTGAGCCCGTGAGGTCAAGGCTGCAATTAGCCATGATGGTGCCACTGCACTCCAGCCTGGGTGACACAGCCAGACCCTGTCTCAAAAAAATAATGAAAAATTTAAAAAGATAATTTTTCTGATAACCATGGGTTGTCCTGGGGACCCAATGAGATGGCTTCACATACAGCTGGGGACAAGGCCAGTGCTTGAAAAACGGGTAGCAATTACATAAAGGACTCTGAAGTGAGGGGCCATCCTGAGCCTGTCAGAGCCATGGAGTGGCAGCTAAGGTTACTGCTGTCACTACTTGGTTCTAAAGGAATTATCCCGATAATTTCCAACATACCCCTATTAACTTTTTGAAAATATCATCTAAATGAAAACACACAGCTAAAAAGAGTCAACGCCCTGAAGACACCTCCTCCCAACCCCCAAGGCCTTCGGACACCAGTATGAGAAGCTGGGCTCTAGGGGACCCTGTCTCCAAAGCAGAATATGGTCTGCTTTCTCCATCCCTGGCTGCCACCTGAATCCAGCCAGCTCTCTCCCACACAGGTCCCTCCCCACCCACCTGTGTCCTTCCTCTTTGGGGATAAAGCCTTGGCTCCACACCACAGCCTAGGCCCTGAGCCCTGCCACCCTGCTCTCTCCCCTTCACCCACTCCCCCGGCTCCAACCACATGGGCCTGCTGTTCCACCACCCCTTGCGGCCTTTACCTGGCTGCACCCCTGTCCAGCCCACCTCCTCGGGCTCTCACATCACAGGGGCTCCTCAGCAGCCTTCCCAAACCTCTCTCCACTCTAGATCCAGCTAGATCTCTGTCCCCTCCTTCAGCCACACCAAGCACTCACAGGCCAACACAACCTCTCTGCCACCTCTGATCGCATCCAGAACTACACGTGGCACACAGTAGTTATTCAATCAATATTTGGTGATGGATGGAATACACTAATGACCAAGAACAGCCAAGGGCTGGCTCCTGAGGCTGTTCAGCAATCAGACCCCCAGGGCAGCGGGGACAGGGTGCCTCCCATCCTCATCCCTTCCCCCTGGGCTCTGGGAAAAGGAGGGGCCAAGGCCATGGTATTGGGGGTGGAGAGCAGCAGCCACACCCCACCTCCCGAGCAGGCATGGAATGGAGTCATTTCTAGATGACTGAGGCCTACTTTGTGCCAGGTCTGTCTAGGAGAAGAGAAAGCAGGAAAGAAATCCTGATGACAACAGCGACAACTCCAGTCACAGCAGGCAGGACAAGGAGATGAGGCATTCTTCAAAAGGCAGCTTCGCTGACAGAGCAGGGTTCAACCGTCATGCCTATTGGACTTTGGGCAAATCCAACAACCTCTCCATGCCTGTTTCCTCCCCAGTAAAACAGGGACAATCGTGACAGCAAGCTGCCAGGCTGTGGTGAAGAGGAGTAAGAGCAGACACCTCAAGCTCTGCAGCAGTGCCCAGCACACAGAGGAGAAAACTACTCACGAGAATGACCCCAACATTCTATGTGGCTCCCTGGGCCTGTTTCCTATTTACAAGATGGGGGTGCTAACACTGCCCACCTCCCAGGCTGCTGTGCAGGTCTGTAGAGCTCATACACAGTGTCTGGCTGGGCAGGAGTGCAGCGGTGGGAGTGATTCATACTCCTGTCTGGAGCCCTCCCATCAGCTAACAGGCCCCACCACTCTCTCCCAAGGACCAACAACAAGCCCGTGCCCACTGCCCCGCAGAGCCCCTTCTGTACTCTCAGGTGCCTTCAGTCCTGTCTGGCAATCACCAGAAGCAGCATCAGCCCAAATTCATCCCACACCTCCTCAGGAGGCTCGTGCTTTCCAACACAGCAGCTCCCTACATCCTCCCCACCACCCCACTCAGCAGGAAGGTTCCCGTTCACAGCTGGGCAAACTGCACCTTAGGGAGATGAAATAAGGCCCCAGGGTTCCACGGCCACCAAGAGGGGTGCCAGGAGCAGGGTTCTCACCCATGTCAGCTGCCCCTGGGACCAGGCCACTCAGCAGCCCCAGCTGGGTAACGGTACACCAATGACCCACCAGACCATGAAGAACTCAAAGCCAGGCTGGAGAGGAGAACCGGGGAGCAGGAACTGCCCCAGCCCGTTCAGAAAGGGCCCACGAAGTGGCAAACCAAGGAAGGCTTGGGTTTCTGGCCTCACCCTTAGAAACAACATCTGCGAACGAGCTTCTCCGGCAGGACGGCTGGGCTGAAGAAACTCCTGCGGGGACCTCTGACATGCAGTCTCCTCTTGGCCGGCCTGGCTTGCCGTCCCTTACTCGGCACACTCAGAGCACCCGGGCCCTGCTGTGGGTGCCGAGTTGGCAGTGGGTCTTGCCCCAAGGGGGCCAGGCTGAGCTCCCACCCAGCACCCCTCCCACACTCGCTCCCTCCCTCCTGGTCCTGCTCCCAGGCTGTCTCCCCCAGTTGGGCCTCTCGCTGCTTGGCTGGCTATCCAGAAGAGCCTGCCATGGAACCACCCCACCGTGCGGCCCGGAGGCCTGTGGTTGAGGGCCTTCCGCGGAGAGCTCTGGGAAGCTGAAGAGAGGCCCGGGGAGGGGTGTCCCTGGGTCCTCCAGGGGCTCGGAGCTTAAGTCTGAAAGACACTCCTTTCCATCCCAACCCATCCCAGGGGGTTTCTGGGGACCCTAGAGATTTGTTCTGAGGGGCTGTGCTCCTTCTAGGAAGATACCCGGGAACACACCTCAAAAAAAACAAACGCCAGGGCGTCTGCTCCTGCACTAAGCCTTAGGGGTGAGCCCATGGGTGGGATCAGAAGTCACACTCACCAGGGGCTACTGAGCTGTGCTGCAGGAATCTCTGGAGGCCCAGATTCATAACCTGTCCCCAACACTTCCTGGCTGGGGGACCCAGCACAAGCTGCAGAGGCTCTCCAGGCTTCAGTTCTCACTGCTGTAAGGCGGGAATCAGAGAAGCTTCCTCCCGGGTCTAACATGTCTTCCCCAAGATACTCCCATGGCTCTCTCACGGCACTCCAGTCCCTGCCCACACGTCACCTCCTCAGGGAGGTCCTCCCTGATCACCCAGCTACAGTGGAGAAACATGCCCACACTCTCAACCTGGCCCTCATTTATTTTGCCTTCGTAATATCAACCACACCTGAGGCCCGCCAGAGACCTGGGTGCTGGGCGCCAGTCACAAGACCTGCTCTTTCCAATTCCAGAGGAGCACCGGGAATGGCGCAGGCCTGCAGGCCCACCGTAGCGTGGACGCAGGGTCAGCGGGTGCTGTCTGTATCAGGTGTGACTGCTGCTCTGCGTTGCTATTCAGTATTAGTCCGGCTGGTTGGGTTGGGGAGGGAAGGGCAGAAAAATCAGCCCAACGAGCCTCCCCTCCTCTTTCCCTAAAAGTAATAGCCACGGGCTCTGGGGAACACGGTGTGAAAACCACAGGAGAGGGAGGCAACCCTCGGGCCTTTGCTGGCTGTAAGGCAGTGATGCTATCCGAGGGGAAGTGGGAGGCCTGTGAAATGCCCTGCTCCGCTCAGTTAAATCTACCCACCCCCCCAGGCAGGAGCCTGTGACCCTCTCCTGTGTCACCTACTAACACCCTAAATCTGACCAGCCTGTTCCTGCTGAAATTTCAAACTCCTTCACAGACAGTCCACAAGGCTCCCAGTGACAGGGCCCTGCCTGCCCCGCAGCCCCTGGACTCATCTCCTCCCTGCTCCCTCGCTCTGCCAAGCCACACAGGCCTCCGTGAGGTTTGTCCCTGCACCTCACCAAGCTCTGTCCTCCCTTCAGACCTTTGCACTATAGTTCCCTCCACCTGGAGGGCTGTTCCTTCTCCTCCCATCCCACATGACTGCCTCACCTTGCCAAACTGGGATCAGCTTAGAGGCCCTCCGCGCAGCCGCATGCATCTAAAGTGCCCAGTCTGTCACCCGGTTTGAATTCGCTGCCTAGCACCTCCCCTTCTAACCGGCTCCTTGCTTATTCACTTGTTTCGGGTTGGCCTCCCTCAGCCCCACAAGGATAGGGACTTTGACAAGCACACCGCTGTATTTCCAGTACTGATGCAACGCTGGCACACAGGAGGCGCTCAGTAAATGGTGGTGGGTGAGTGAAACCTTTTCCTCGGCTCCACAATACCCTTAGGATCCATCCTCGCCTCTCACCCAGGCCCACAGGCCAGTGCAGCACAGCCCCTGCCAACCCCTGCAGGCACTTCTGCTGCTCTCCTGCCCAAGCCCAGCCTTCCTGCCACTCCTGGAACTGCGAGCTGTGGTGGACAGGGGCAGTGGCATGCACCTATAGTCCCAGCTACTCAGGAGACTGAGGCAGGAGGATCACTTGAGCCCAGGAGTTCAAGACTAGCCTGAGCAACACAGCAAGACCCCCGTTTCCACAAAAAAATTTAAAAATTAACTGGGCATGGTGGCATGCACCTGTAGTCCCAGCTACTCAAGAGTATGAGGTGGAAGGATCACTTAAGCCTAGGAAGTCAAGCCTGCAGTGAGCTGTGATCACACCACTGCACGCCAGCCTGGGTGACAGAGTGAGGCCCTGTCTCAAAAGAAAAAAGAAAAAAAAGCAAAGCCTGACCTCTGAAAAGACTCAAATGTGTCTACCTTGCAGGGGTTCAGGGCTGCAAAGCCACTGTGTAGAAGTGGAGTGAGCCCAGGAGCTGCCCTTGTCAGTTCTGTCTTGATTGCATGTCTCCTCCAACCTCTGTTTCTGCATCTGGAAAACTGAGATGCTAATTTCAGCCCTGATTTCCTCCTAGTGCTCTCTGACACGGTTCTGTGAACTGGCAAGGGCCTTCAAAGTCCTGGCAGAAATACTAAGAATTACAATTGCTAAGATATACCAACAGCTCACCATGTGTCGGGCACTCTTCTCAGTGAGGAGACGTTTCAGGTAGGCTTACTGTATGCCAGCATAGTTATGAATGCTTCCCACAAATTAATCCACTCAACCTTCACAATAATCCTATCAGGTGGGAATTATCATCCTCCCCATGACACCGATGATGAAAGGAGCTCAGAAGGATTGGGAAGCCTGCTCAAGATCACACAACCATGGAGTGGCAGGGCTGGATTTGAACCCTGTGCTCTCACTCGCTTCCATGCAGCTCTTTACAGAGGCTGGAAACCAGAACATCGAAGTTCTGGATCCTAGCTGGGCCAGGCTGGGGAGCTGGATCCTGGAATGCTCAAGGGGACCAAAAGTAGGGGGTGGGGGAGGCTGGATGCCTCAGTTCCATAACATAATCATGACTGCCAACCAAGACTTACACAGTGCCAGGCACCGTTCTCGGAGCTTCTCGTGGATTAATTCATTTAATCCTCACAACAGCCCAAGGTGGGTGTCCTTCTGAGACCAATGCATGGGAGTGAACAGTGTGGTCTGAGGCCACAGAGCTAGAACCCACTTCTCCATCCTGCCGCTAGCCAACGCAGGTCCCTGGTAGCTGTGTCACCTCCCGCATGGCTCTCTTGCTGTCTTCTTCTCCCAGCACACACCTGCCCAGCGTTAAAGGATGCCCTGGCTCCACTCTGAGGAGGGACCAAGAACTGCTGGACTGGCTGCAGGCAGAGGTGCTCAGGGCAGCCTGAGACTCAGGGGTGAGAGGAAGGAAAGACATAGGATAGTCACCTCTATAGGTGGAGGACAGAGGACAGAGGTGACTCTATCCTATGTCTTTCCTTCCTTTCACCCAGCCTGGAACCTGGTGAGCAAGGAATGCATGGCACTAGGGGCTCAGTGACCTGGGTTCAAATCCCACCCTGGCGCCCATAGGGTCTGATAAGACCTGGGGGAAGGCAATTCTTCCTCTGAACTTCAATTTCAGACTGCAAAAAAAGGACACAAATACCATATAAAACCCGAAGCACAGGGCTGGGCAGAGTATATGCTCATAGACAAAAGCCACTGCTCCAGTTTCTCCTTGACAAGAGGATCTGAGGCCAAGGTGGGCCAAGGGCTCACATCACACCTCTACCACTTCAGCTATGAGACCTCAGGGAAATCTTTACACTTCACAGTGACTGAAATGATTCCTCATCTGTAAAATGGTATCACACTTCTAACTAGCTTGTAGCTCTCCACCAAATAGGCCTAACCACAGGTACGTTTTGAGACTTAAGTGAGGTCACATGTGCAAAAGCCCTGTCACACGCCTGGCATGGGGTGAATGCTATAAACACTGGGCATCCACTAGCTCTGGAAATGATTTGCCTCTCTGAGCTGCTGTTTTCTCATCTAAAAGGGAAAGCATAACAACAGCGCCTACCGCTCTAGAATTCAAGGATTCAGCAAGTTTATCTCTAAGAAGCATTCCAAACAGTGTGTGGCCCACAGAATGCATTCAGTTACTGTCAGCCATCAATTTCGTGATTACTGTTTTCACTGCCGCTGTTAGCCCCATCAGGCAAAGCCTCTAAAAGGTGGCAGAAGGAGAGGACCAGCGGAACAAAACCCTAGTGGAGAAAAATTATACAGAGCCCCTACTGCCTCACAGACTGTGGGACCTTTCTCCCCAGAACCACAAGGCACGGAAGCCAGTCAGCTTGGAAATCACTGCTGCGGACTAGGGGCAACCGTCTGCCCCCTCCGACCACATCACCAGCCCAGGTCTGCTGGGTCAATCAGGGACTGCAGCCAGTCCTCCGGGAACTCCAGACCCAGAGCAAAGGCTACAGGGCAAGCCAAGGTCATGATCTGGCCTAGGGAGCAGGGACACTGGCCACAGACCTCTGGGGCTGGCTGCTCCCAGCACCAGTCCACAGACCACAATAAGACACCAGATCCACGGGGGATCGACTGTCCGAAGCCCTTCAGAGCAGCCTTCCTCCTTGGGCCAGGCTGGGCCAGGGGCACCCCCCTCCAAGTCCCCTTGGCCTATGCAAAGAGGAACAGCTGGGAAAACAGCTCCCGGCCTCACTGCAAGGCCAACTGTGACTGCCTTGGTGGGAAGTGTAAACATGATGTGTGACTGATCTGGTAACCGGGAGACACAAACAGCTTCGTGGCCAGCGACAGAGGAGCATGTAATGGTCTGCGTTGGTTCCCGGACCCTTCACATCCACTGCCAACCAAGGTCAGCCCACGAGTGAACTCCTGCTTCTCTGGAAAAGTAGGAGTGGATGACGTTGAAAAGCAGCCCACTGGAGGCCCTAGTTACTCCAGCCCAGGCATCTTGCTGAGCCCAAGAGGTCTCCAAATGAGAAGAAGTCCTCACAATCCTAAGATCAAGATGCCCCCAGAAAGCTTTCCCGGGGGGAAGAGGTGTTCCCCCAAACACTCCTTCCTCCCAAGTTTTAACAAGCTGGTCCAGGGGCACGGCTCCTCAAATCCAAGCCTAATCCCTCTTCCTCTTCCGAATGTGGAGCCTAAAGCTCAGACAACTTCAGTGACTTCCAACGCAGCTTTCCTCCCTCCCCTATGGAAGGAAAGAACTGTTACTGCCTGGTGAAAAATCTGAGAGGGTAATGGAATCCAGAGCAGCACCTCCGTGGTCCAAAGCACCCCAGGAACCATGACGTTCCCTCCAAAGTCGTTAAGAAGTTCAATAAAGGCTGAGCTCAGTGTAAACCCCCAACCCCACACACGTCAAATACAAGAAACAGAAACCCCTTCTCACCAATCGGAATCACAGTCCTCCCAAAATACGCCCCTAAAATCCACTAGGGCCTGTCCCGCCCCGTCCCAGTCCCTTAAAGATCACAGACATCACAGTCCTCCTCTGATTTGGGCTCCCCTACGTTCTAAGCAGGGCTCCCCCAACGCCGTGGTGATACTACCCAGCCACACTTCGGGAAGCATGCTCCCAAGAACCCCCGCCCCTGTAAATACAGCACAGCAACGGCTTCCACAGCGCCAAAAAGGTACACCCCTCTACACTTGATGCGGCGCGCCCCCTCGAGAGTTTAGCCCGCGCACGCCAGGCTCGATCTGCCCGCCGCGCCCCACGGGTCCAGCCCCCGGCCCGCGCACGCTGGGGCCTGCGCTCCCTGTCCCGCACACTCGCAGCGCTCCCCTCGTCGCCTCAGTGGTACGGCCCGCCGCCACCTCCCCCGGCCCCCCGCGGCTGGTCCCACCGCCCCCGCTCGGCCACCCCCACTCAGCTCCGGAAGGGGGGGCTCGAGGGCCGCGGTCCCCCCGGCGGGCACGGGTGGTACAGCCCATCGCGGCACCGCGGGGGGCCCGGACGCGACCATCGCGGGGGGAGGGCGCTCGGGGACACGCGCTGGCGCACTCACCTGTCACCGGCAGCCGCCCAGCCTCTCCGGCGGGGCTCTACCCCCGCCCATCGCCACGCTGCGCTGGTTCCCGTTCCTTGTGTTTCCCGGCAGTGGCTACGGCGCCCGCAGCGGCGGCGGCGACGCCTTCTCCGAGCCAGGCCCAACGGCTCGCGCGGCGCGGCCCCCCCGCCCCCTCCCCCCAGCCCCCGCTTACCGCCCCCTCCCACCCTCTGGACGGAAATACCGCCCTCTCGCGCCACAAACAGGAAGTGACGTACAAAGAGCCGGAGAAGAACTCTGAGAGAGCAAGAGCGCAAGCGCAGGGCAGAGAAGGAGGCGGGCTCACAGCAGGGCGCCTGCGCACATTAGACAACTTTGGGCCTGTGTGGGTTAGAGATTGGCCTCGCTAAGGCGTGGGGCGGAAAGCCGAGATAGGGTTACGCAGGCGCAGTAGGACTCCGACAGCTGCTTTCCCTAGGGACTCACCGCAGCGATTATTTCCCGGCAGCCTCTAGTCCGTATTTACATACGCTTTGATCTTGTTTTACTTCGTTCTGTGTTCTTAAAGGAATCCGGAACGGGAGTGAGTTAGGAGGGGTTTCCTTTTCAGTGAACTCGTCATGGTTGAGCTCAGGCTCTGAAGCCACACAACCCGAGATTTGAATTTCCTCCTTTCTGGTGACTGTGGGCAGAAGGCTTGACCGTTTTCTGTGCCTCAATATCCACATCTGCTAAATGGAAAATCATCCCTGTGTCGCTGGCTTTTGAACTATTTTAATGTAAACAAAACGGTTTTTACAAATTAGTTCATGACTGCAAAATATTAATGCCACCTGCTCTCATCGTACATATTCCAGTGAATCTGGGATATAACATTTTATAAGGCCCATAAAGGCCTTAAAATCACCCTGCGGCCGGGCGCGGTGGCTCACCCCTGTAATCGTAGCACTTGGGGAGGCCAAGGCGGGCGGATCACGAGGTCAGGAGTTCGAGACCAGCTTGGCCAACATAATGAAACCCCGTCTCTACTCAAAATACAAAAAAAAAAATAGCCCGGCGTGGCGGTGCCTGTAATCCCAGCTACTTGAGAGGCTGAGGCCGGAGAATCGCGTGAACCCGGGAGGCGGAGGTTTCAGTGAGCCGAGATCGTGCCATTGCACTCC